AAATAATGAAAACAGACAATTATTACAAAAGAGTTCACAGAATCCTTGGTATTTCAGTTGGACTGAGCAATAGCTTTTGAACAGCTCCACCGATTCCAGGAGTATTTCAGATCTTTAATGATCCCTGGAAAACGTGATGGGAAGTCTTGAGACATGGCTGTTCTGGTGACTCCAAGGCAGCAGAGACACAGCAATGAGCATGGTGACCTCAGAAGAGCGGGTGAGAAGATGAAAGGAGGGAAAGAAGAGAGCATCCTTCAGAGAGATCAAGTCAAAGGCATGTTAAGGAAGCAGGAAAAGGGTATCCACAACTTCCTCATTCTCTGAAAATGCTCGTGCATTGCGAAGCCCAACAATGACAAAAGGGGACTGACTGCTGCATCCTGACAATGTCTGGTACCAAAAGCATTTCTGCTGCTGCAGTCAGAGCGAAATGTATGCAGAAGACCATTCTGCACTCCTGGCAGTGCCATGTGCTCCTCCCACATTCACTGTCTCCTTTCCAGCACAGTTCCACACGCAGACAGGGCAGTGAGAACAGGAACCCAAGGGAGGTAAAGCTGCTGCACAGGTCTGCTCTGTGAACAGCCCCCTGGATCCCAGGCATGCTTGAGACACAGACATGCTGGCAATGGTTGGGCACCCCAGGCCATGCTCTGCTAGACTTCTATACACACTTAATTTCATTGTACAGGTTAAACCCACTTTGGGAAAACATGCCGGGGTAGCAGCAACAGTTTATAATCCCGTTAGCAAACACACACAGGCTCACTGTGCTGAGGCCTCGCTCACACCCCACCCCCCAACATACAGGGCACATCTAAGTGCCCACGTGCAGTGCAGCATCCTCAGTGCTTTATTGCCCAGCCACTTCTATTTCACCCAAATGAAATATAAAAACCCATTACTAAGCAAAAGTATTGAGAATTTTTATGAAATTGTAATGCTTCCAATTTATGTTGAAAAAGTCCCAAACCCTCGAGCTGTCTGTGGCTGCTCCAGCCAGGGATGCAGGAGATGCTGCTGATGCAGTGCAGCACAAGTAATCGGAGAGGGAAACGCTGCTCTGATGGGGTGCCATCAAAAAGAAATGGGAAGGGTTTCCTCTTGTTTAGGACATAATTGAAAATTCAAGGCAAAAAATACAGAATGAACACCAAATTTCTGCAGGACAGTGACAGATGTCATGTAAAATGTTTTAACTGAGTTTCAGGCCTTGATACTTTCTGCCCATTTCAGACAAAATGCGTTTTAGGAAGGGAACACTCAGGGAGCATCAGGCATCAGTGCAGACATTCATAGTAACAAACTGCTGAATATTCAAGTGTATCAGAAGGAAGAATCCAGGAAAAAACTATTTAAAGAGAAGATACTGTGGAAACCTTTGATATTCAGTTGGTGCTTACGGATACTCTCCAAGGCACAGCTGGTGCACACAGAACTGGAGGAAAAGTAATTAAAGACCACTACCTGAATATTGTCCAACACCAGTGTCCCCCTCAGCATCCCCATTTGCTCCTTCCAGGACAAACATCCTGCCTGGACATTACCCCAAGCATGACTGCTGATGTCCCTGACCTTTCCTTGCCATTTCCTTTCCTGCAGGAAAGCATCCCATGACTGCCATGGCTGCTGCAAGCATCCTGTGAATGTGCAAGCAATAAACATGAAATGCAGTTTCCCCTTGGCTCCCAGAGAACCAGATTATCACATTTCAGCAATTACTGCACATGCTGGATTTACAACAGGGCTCCACAGGGCTCTGATGTCTCCCTGTGCCCACCCAGCTCAGTCTGTGTCCTGCTCTACTTCCCCTGGCTCACCTGCCAGAGCAGTGCCACTGACACTCTTCTGCACCAACTCTGAACTATTCAGCAAGCAGTTAATGTGCATATCACATGAAACAGCTCTCTGCTGACATACTGCTCTCCAAGGCTTGTTACTCCTAATTTGTCCGATTGGCCAAGATGTCTAAATTCACAGTAAATTTTTAGCATGATCCTATAGCACAGTTTATGCACTTCTTAATTAAGAAAAAGGGTAACACTTTTTAAAAATATATTCCTTCCCATCCGTGCAGCACCTGAATACCAGTACTAAAGAAGATATCAGCACCTGCTAAAGGCAGGATGGAACATGATGTCCAACAAGCTCAGCATCTCCAGCTGCACGGCACAAGCGTGGGAGTGAGCAAGGGACGCATCTCTGTCGATGGGTGAGGGCAAAGTCTGCCTCTGTAACCTTGGCAAGCAGCAGCCCGCCCAGAAGCCTGGCATCCAGATTAATTTTACATTCTTGGGGCACCACTTTTCAACACACAGAAGGGAATGCTGCATTTTGCTACTCAGCTGTGCCAGTGTTTGAAAATCGTCCGTGTCTGAGAATCCACATTTCCCCTCCATTAGTCAGTACAAGTACAAACACAGGTTTTTCTTCTTTTTCCATTGACACAAAATCTGGTGCTAAGTTGAAGGTCAAACAGGCGCAGCACAGGTCCTGCTGGTGACAAGCCAACCCACTCAGGGCTGCGGCTGCACTGAAGCCTCTGCAGAAGATGGAACCTGCCATCACCCGCACCTTGAAAAAGGTGTCAGCAGCACTGCTCCGTGCTCGGTGAACTGCCATCCCACTGCCCACCCCAGCCACCATCATCGTGGTCTCTGCTGACAGCAGGAGAAATTTTAGGAGACACAGAAAAATGCACTGTGCAGCTCCAGCTGACTGGTTCTCATTTCTTATCCCTCTGACCAGTCTGCAGGGAGCAGGCACATCATGTCAATCATAAATGACAACATAAAGTTGCTTAAAGTAAGAAATCAGACACGACCATATAATTAATGGCTACGGCGCAGTGTAAATGCATGAGGGAGACCTTGAGTCCCTGTGGTTGGTTTGAGTCCTGGCCTTTACACTGAAAATCTGAGGCAGAAAAGATCAAGAACAATTGCATGGGGATTTTTAATCGATATCTAACCTGACAATAGGATTTGGAGGAAGATCATCCCATAAAACACAGGTAGCATTGCAGACTAATTGTATTTACTCCCCACTGACCAGAGGCTCACAGGCAGAGCACTACGTGTCCCAGGAAGGTGCTGAATGTCTCTCTAAACAAAGGGCAAGGCACCTAAGTGCCTCTGTGAATTAAAAAGTCAAACATGTTGCTGGAGGTTAATGTTAAACATTGCCCTGGCTGTACCTGTTTTGGAATATCAAACTCATTTACTGGGGGGTGTTGAAGTGGAAGCCTCTGAAGCAGATAAACAAAACACCTTCTCCCTCTCTGGTCTCATTCCCCCTGAATTCACCATGGAGCTGAACACAAACACTATGCAGACAACAGAAAAGCATCATCTATTCTGGGCCAGCTCCTTTCTCCCAGCTGAATAACCTTGAGCACATGACTGAAGGATGCCCGTTTATGCCTGGGAGATGCTGTCATGAATCACAGACCCCTCTTCCTCCCACAGAGAAGGCACAATGTGTCCTTGTAGAGGAATACCAGTCTACCACTGCCACAGTGAGACATCCGGCAGTGCATTTTATAAATAGGCTTCTAAGAAATGTACTTCCCATCCACTCCTCCTGATCCAAAGTGATTACCAGAGCAAAGACGACGACTAAACATCAACACACACGCTGTGAACATGAAGGGGTCAGACCCCAGGGTACAGCTCAGAGATCTTATACTGCTTCAGTGCAACCCACCAGAGAGATGCTGGCTAACATGTTGGCTACCAGCCACAGCAGCCAGGGCCAGCAACACTTCTGGGGAGCACACAACAAAAGAAGAAATACAAAGCTCGCAACTGAAGGTAAGAGAGGGGACCTATGAGGAGAGGACCTCTCAGGGGGTACAAGCACAGCCTGGCCAGCATATAAGAGAGCAAGATCAACATGGTCACACTGTATTTTCAGAGGAGCCACAGCTCTGCTCTGTGAGGTGCAGTGCTGCTCCCACCACTGCAGCCAAGCCAAGCCTCTTTCCTTGTATGTGGCATTTATATGTTGTGGGTGCAAATGGAGCTGAGAGCACACAGACAGCACAGAGGACAGTGACATTTGGTGCATGTTCCCTTCGATTATATTCATGGTGCAGGCACAGTCCTCTGCAGGTCATGAGGTGTCTTGTCCTGCCCCAGTGACAGCAGCAGTGTCTTCTTTTTTACTATGAAAGTGCAATTACAAAACCAGGGGGGAAAAGGGATTATTTTCCATTTGCTTCTAGAAACAGATGTCACTTTCCTCAGACCTGTTAGTTTTCAGAACCATGAGAGTTTAAGCTTTAAAACAGTATTATTACAATATGCATCAAGTGTTTTCTAACAAAAGAAGATAAATTGCTTCCACTTTGTACACCATGGTAACCAGCCAAGAATACAAACAGCTCCTCAAAGACAGGGTCAGCAAACACCACCTGGGCAAACTCCCACACGTGACCCTGAGCACAACCCACTCAGCCCCAGGGAAGCTGCCCAAACACTGTGTAAATAAGAGGAAAACAGCTTGACTCCTGGGACTTCGCTGTTCCCACAACAGCCAGAAGAAAAATCATTGATTGTCTCCCCAGGGACTAAACTCCTCACTGGAGGAGAGCAGATCCACTGCAAGGCTGGCCCTATGGTTCTGCCAAATTCAAACACAGCCCCAGGGCTGATCTCTCTCCTATGCCATGGCATGCCAGTACAGCACTCGGCTTCCCAGCTCCTGCCTCACTTCAGAATGGAACAACACAACCAAAAACCTCCAGGAAGTCTCACTTGAGCAGAATCCATGTTTAGGGAATGTCTGACCTGGCATCAGCTCTCTATTTCTAGAGAAAATATATCATCTCTCTAAACAGAGACATACAACTAAGAACACCCATTTCCCCTTCAGACAAACAGAATCCCCCAAGCAGTGGAACGTGGGATGCTGAGCACCCCGGCAGCGGCCGAACGAACGCGGCCACGCGGGCTCGCCTGGGTGACCCGGGAGAGAGGAACGTGTCGCCATCCTACCTGCAGAAGCCAGTAGCACCTTCTGTGAAACGTGGGGATGATGGAGGAATGGACGTAGCAGCCATACAGGCACTGGGGACACAAAAAGAGAGAAAGCAGAGTCAGGTTAGTGAAGGAACCGTTGCCTGAGAGGCTGCGCTGGGGAGGGGGTGGCAGTGCATGACCCGCCACCAAAGACATCATCGTCCTGCTCCTGGTCGGGGCTGGTAACACACAACACAGGATTGTGGCACCCCAACGTGTGTTTTTAAGCATTGCTACAGGTCACAGAACCCCTTCCCTGACAGCCTCCCCCCCCCCACCGCTGCCTTTGCCCAAGCACAGTCACCCTGGAGCAGCCAGAGGCAATGGAGGCTCCGGCAGCGCTCGGCACCCCAACACCGACGGGGGGTCTGGGGCTGCATTCGAATCTTTGCTCCAACCTATTTTTATTTTTTGACAAACACAACACCTATATCTCTTTTTCCATAGTTTATCTCCTGGGTATTTCAACTGAAAATGTTGTGTTTGTAAACTGAAAAATTGCTGCCAGATATTTTAGACAGCAAAATGCCAAAATACAGGTTGTTTCTTTTCTGCTTGTTTTGTTTTTTTTTTGTTTTTTTTTGGTTTTTTTTTTAAATAAGTTCTGCTTCTCTGATTAACTAAAATCAGCAAGGCCAAGGAATTCTTTCTTCAGGAAAAAAATCAAATTTCCAGTATGTTTCCAACTTTTCAGTTGGAAACCAAGCCCAGCATAACCCAAACACACAAAACTGGTTTTAATTTCAAAGATGCCCGAGTGCAGAGGGGTGCAGTGCCTCTGGATGTGTGCACTTGGCGAGCACACAGAAGGCTATGGCAGATTCCCCTCCCCTGGATCACCACTTGCAAGGCTGGCCTGAATTAAACAGGATTTAAGGACTGCTGGCTGCTGTCACTGAGTTATTTTTAAAACTGAAATGACAAAGATTAGTAATACTTTCAAATGTTTCAAGGGTACATTCCACACACAGAAATGCAGAGAGGAAAAACAGAGCGGGGAAAAAATCCCTGCAGAAAATAATCCAAAGAAAAGCTTAACATTTAAATCCCTCCCCTCAGATGGGGAACAGCCGCTGCCTTTTGTGTGGATAATCCCTGACAGTGACTCCTGGCTCACAGCGCTGGGGGCTGCATGGAAAGGTCTGTAACCTTTGGTTCTGCTGACTCAGAGCTGGTCTCCCCTCTCAGGAAAGCAGCTTGGGAGGTGCAGCATCTCCCAGTCCAACCTGCTTCCCAGTGAGGGTGGATAGCCGGTCTGGAGCAGCTGGAGTCGCCTTCACAGCCAATACAGACATCCATAGCACCTTGTGCAATATATATCAATATATTCCAGCATCCCCCAACTTGCTTCCCATCCTGACTTGCTGTGGAGTCTATTGAAACTTCTCTGATTAAAACAAAACCCAACAAGTGCCAGTGCTGGGCTCGGTGCAGCTTGTGGTGCACAGCAGGCGGGAGCACTGCCCTGCCTCTCCAGAGCTGCCTTGTGGTTAATTCTGGAGCTGTCAATAATGAATCACACAAAAGCCTCCCACCTCCAAGAAAATAGTTGTCAACATTTCAGCAAACCCTTAAAAAATCCTAACGATTCACAGAATTCACAAAGCACTCAGAATACAGAAGGGATTTCTTAAATTTTTCTTTTTTTTCCCCATGGTGACAGGACATGAGAATCTGACTCTGGATTGATGTGTAGAGGCTGGATGTTCTAACTTGGGCAGCTGGGATGAAGGAGACCCACACACTGAGCAAGCTCCTGACCTCAGAGAGATGGCAGGGACTGTCCCCACGGGCACCGAGAGATCCACAGTGTCGGAGAAACACGCTGCAGGGGAGAAACAGACCCTGGGAGTGCACATGGAGTGTAGGCAAAATGAGTGATGGCAGCAATAAAACCTACATTAATTTTTGGATAAAAAGGCATATAAAACCCCTTTAGGATATAAATGGAAAGCAGGAAATCTGAGCGTCATTGTTTTGGAGGATTTTCAAGGTTAATGAGTTAAGCGCTGTGGATGACACAAAGTGTGCAGCCCCATGGCTCGGTACACGGGGGTTAAGGGGAGGAGGGTGTAGAGGTGATTTCCCTACACTTGGCCCTGCTGACCCCTGCCTTTGGTGTGGGATGAATCCCTAGCCTAGGACAGCTCAGAGTCACCGAGTACCCGCCGGCTGGACACCACCCTGCACCTACTGAGGAGAGTGGAATTACTGCCCTGCCTGGCTGGAGCACACAGGTAACCAGGGCAGGAGTAATGCCTTTAGCTAAAGCTATCTTTAAAATGAATTCTTGCTCAGAACAGGCAACAGGGGTTTCATTATCTGGGTTTTCTTTTATTTTTTTATTTATTCTTCAGTGGGAGGTAAAAGCTGTGGAGGCCTGTGTGTCTGTGGAGATGTTAATGCCAGGCTGGGCGCTCAGCCAACGCATTAAGTGAAATCGAATTCCTGAAACCAGCTTTAATCAGCAGATTTTTAAGGTTAGAACAACTCTCTCCTCTGCAAGGCTTGCCAAGGTTAATTCTGTCCTGAGCAGGCTGAATTAATGGGCTGGACAGGGGAGAACACTTTTTTTCATGATTCTCTTTTAAGTTTACAAAATCTCCAGGAGAAGAGAAAAGGCATTTCTGAGCTGTCTAAGGAGAAATGCCACCACAGCAGCTCATCGACTGCTGTGTAGAGAACAGGGCCTAAGATGAGAGCCACCATCCCCTCCCGTGGGGCATCAGCCTGACACTGCCCTGCAGGGAGCACTCTGACCCACTGCCACGCTGGGACCGGGATGCCCACACTGGTGTGGTCCTGTCACCTCTCTGGGAGCACGTCCTTGTCCCTGCAGATGCCCCAGTGTGTGCGGCTGAGGGTGCCCTGAGCACAGACCGTGTCCTGCTGCCATGGGGGGATCCCTGGAATGTGACACCCACCCCTGCCTGTGGGCACCTCCTGTGCAGCCCTCCCAGTGCTGCCGGAGAGCCCGGCCCTGGCAGCTCCACTGCAGCTCATACCTTTACAAGTCGAGGGGTAATTAAAGAGAAAAGGCCTTCTCTGGGCCCTGGGGAGAGTGTGCAATTACAGCTGCCCACACTGCCATTTGTATGCAGTGCACATCTGGCATTACCAAACTTTTAAAAACTGGAGGCAGGGAGGGGGAATAAAAAAATCAAATTATTAGTGGATTTTTTTATCCTGAGCTCCTTACAGTGATTGTGGCTTATTTAAAAATAATACAATAATGCTGAGGTGTTCTTCCTTAATAAGCACACCTTGGGAATGGAAATAGGAAAGCAGAAGAATCAAAAATTCAAGATAGGATTGGACAGGCTTTGAAATTCTTCTCCCCAGTGAGTTACACTAGTGGATATTTAAAAAAAACCCTAAAAACCGCCTAGATTTTGTTCAGATTTTCACACTGAATTCCCAATTCCCTTAATAAGAAGCTAAATCAATCTTTAGAGAACAAACCATGTAAGACCTGTGGCTGTAAATTATTAAAATATACTCGAGTAATTTTCTGGTGTAAGGCTTCAACATCTAACACCCTGGCAAGCCTGCGGACATCGTGAGCAGGATCTGTGCAGGTTACTGGGGGAAAAGGACCATAGGACCATGCCCTCTGCTCCTTGGCTCCATGGTGGTGTTGGGCAATATGTGCTCAGTCCAGCAGCTCATCGCCTCCTTCTTACACCCCAGTGCTGCTGCCATTTCCCTCTGTAATTACACCAACCATTCCTGAGCTTCCTCACCAATTTCCATCAGTAAGTAGCACACTGCTGGCAGTGGCAGCACTGTGTCTGTAACCAGCACCCACAACATTCTCTGCTGATGCTCTGAGAGGGCACAGCCTGGCTGTAAAAGCAAGGCAGCTGAAAACTGGGAGCTGCCTCTTGGCCACCGAATTAGCAACCATGGGGGAAACCCCTCAAATATTGCATGTCACCTCTCTTTTCAAACAGACCTGAAGTGAGTGCCTTCTGAGACTGGGTTATCTTGCAGCAGATGGTCCTTCCTTCAGGACGGGGATGCTAAAGCCACAGACAAGTTCCAAATCCATTTAAAGGTCAGCTGAGGCTTGTCCCTGTCAGCCGCGGGGGCTGGGAGACAGCGGCGGCTCCCGCCCGCTCCTTAATCAGGATTCACCCAGAAAAGCCAATGTGCTGCTATAAACCCTGACTCGATGCCAGCACCACGCACAGGGAGCCACGTGCCATCAATCCTCCTTGTCCTCCCCCAGCAGCGAGATGCAGCCGGGGAGGGCCTGACGGGGGCTTGGCCCTGCGAGCGGAGGTGCAGGTTTGTGACAACTCTCGTTGGGCACAGCGAGCACAGCAATGCTGAGCTGACTTGGATGCCACAGGAGACCTCCATGTTTCCCCATGAAGGTTGGCCCCAGTTCAGCTTTTCAAAACAGGGAGGTGTAACTCTGCCTGAACCCTGGGGAATCCCAAGGCCGGCAGGCTGCCCCCAGAGCTCTTGTTTTGACTTAAATAGTGTCATAACATAGGGAGGCATCCAAAATTTCCTGTTACTGCTGCAAATCTTCAATTAAAATGCTGCTAAACGTGTTTTCTCACTCCTCATCTTAACAAAACACAGATATTAGACAGGTTTGGATTTTCCTCTGACGTCTGTAAATAGTAACTTTGATTCAGCAAAGCGCAAAACCACGTGCTCAGATCTCAGCCTGGGCTAAGCTGCTCTGTTGGCAACGTTCACCTTTTATCAACGTCAACAGAAATTAAGTGATTGCTTATGGTTTGCCAGGTCGGGTGAGGAGTCCCTGGTACCGAGAGCAGATCCCAAAAACATTCTTAACATTCCTAGGTGGTTGCAAAACCCTGGAGAACCCGACCCCTTCACTTTTTGGCTGCAGCATTGTGGCTCAGTGCTGTGCAGCCCAGGGCACAGCCCGCCGTGCAGGCACTCAGCCTGGTGCAGAGATTTTGGTTTTAATCCTATCAGCTCTTTGCCTGACATGTTTCAAACCCTCCACATGCCCTCAATGCCACCAGCAGCCATACCCAGATAACAAGTCCTAGAATGAGCCAAGG